CAGCAGGAAGACTGGGGCAGAGAATCTACTGGTTCCTCCCATGTGAAGCCATCACCCCTTCCTGTGTCTCTGCCCAAGTGGAGCAGACTGTTGCATTCACAGCTCTGCCCATATAAGATGTGGAAGAAGGAAGTGGGCAAAGGAGCCATGTCACAGAAAAGAGGTGAATGGGGCAGCAAACACTGAAATACTGCAAAAGAGAACACAGAATCATAGGATAGTTTGGCTTGGAAGCGACCTTTAACGGTCAACCCCCTGCAATGAGCAGGGACATCCTCAACTAGATCAGGGTGCTCAGAGCCCCGTCCAACCTGACCTTGAATGTTTCCATAACAGGAAGGAAAGGAGCAAGTGTCTATCTAGGACAGGAACAAGGAAAGTTCATTTCTGTCCTCCTGAAAATCCTGACTTGATCAATATCCTCCTACTGCAAGCCACAACGCAAACAATTAGCACAGTTTGAGTGCTTGCTGCCCAACCCTTGCTGTTACAGTTAGGTCCATGGCATACATAAATCTGCTATGCTAAGTATCACAATGCTGTAGTGCCCAATTTCCAGAGGCTTAATTAATTACTATCATACTTTACTTCCTAATTTAAAAAAAAAAAAAGGAAATTGATCATTTTCTACAGGGAGCTTTGCCATGCAATCTCAGCTCTGCAAATAAAAAGCTTTAAGCATACAATATTTCAACAAAGCAAACATCTGCATTACAAAACCTAGGAAAATGGTAGAAAGTCTCACAGTTTTTAAAGCCTAAATTAAGCTCCCAGTAGATTTCTGTATGTATTGAATTAATTGATCAAATTGAAATCAGTGTAGAGGTACTAAAATGGCTACATACCTCAAAACAAGCACAGATCAGTCAGAAAACAAAGTTCAGCCTTATCTCAGCAATAAGGTAATTACTATTTTACAGCAAGCAATAAAATTTCAACTCTGAGAAGGGAACAGTCCCACGCAAAACACACCTGTGAAGTGTTCAGTAAATTCTTGCTCCAGTTTCATGGCTCTCTCAAATGTCTTCCTGGCTTGCTCTTCCGTTAAGCGTTTATTCATTTCCCTGAAGTTGAAAACATTACACATTTAAAAATTACTATCAAGTATTTGGAGTCTTTTGAAGTAAGGGTTTAAACTGTTGTCTGAATATTAACCCTAGTAAGAGGCAGTCTCCTAAATGACACAGCTAAGCAAAGACTGTAGTGGGAATGAGCTGTTCTGACACTATGTTGCATGGAATTTAGCACAATAACATTTGTTCCGAAGCACTCTAATTTGGATTAGAAACCCTGTCTAGAAGTCCCTAGAAATTAAACTCAGGAAATTAAATAGTTTAAAATGCAAATAATTACAATTGTCACCACATAACTTTGCAGTTGGCTTTTCAAATACAATGACAGTCTCAAACAATTTAGCCTGAGGTACTTTAATTTTACTCACATGATATTTTCCACTGTTTTGGGTTTAATAAAAATGGAGATTGGGTACAGCTGGGCAATCTGCAACCTTTTGATCGCATTACCAGAAACATCAAGAATGCAGTGTTTACCCTAAAAAGTGAGAGAGAAGGGAAAACAGCACTAAGCAAAGTATAAGTCACAGGTATGCGTAGCTAGTAATTTAGAAGAGAAAATGGCTCCACTGAAGCCAACAAAATTAGAGCATTTGCATCAATTATATTATTATTTCACCACTTTGGCACAAGGTCCCACTATGCTCCTCTGCTGGGGTCACACATCATTTGAGATGTTCCTGACCCTTCTTCCTTCCTTTCGCCACCAGAGGTTGCAGCCCAATCAACAATGCAGAATCACCCAGTGACGTACATCCAGCCGTACTTCAAGCACACCACCAAAATGTTGGGTTTTTGTTTGTTGTGGGGTTTTTTGTTTTGGTTTGTTTATTTGTTTTTGTTTTGTTTTTTTTTTAGTAATTTGAGGATCCTTTAAGGAGGTGGCCATGTCACAGATGCAGTTTAGAGAGGAGCCAGATGACTTAACGGGCACATGTGAGGGAGTAACCACCCCTGATAGCAGGGAAATATGCCACCATCAGAATCACTAGATGGAACTGAATACAAGCACTCTCCTCCACCCAGGTACCACACAATAGAATACCAAGTTTGAGATGGTGAATGCAATTTATTTGGGATGATTATTTTTTATCTTTTGAGAAACAAATATAACTTAACCATTCCTTGGGCAGCTGGAAAACCATGTGGTAGAGCTGCTTTTCTCCCCACCTGTATTCTCTTCCTATAAGCAATCTTCCAGCTCTTTGGGCTATTTCATCTCAAAGGCTCTTCCTGTTCCTCAGCTCCCCCATCTCTGATACGCTCATTTCCACCTCATACATTTTTATTTCTTTCCTTTCCAAGTAGCATGTGAGTAATTTGGCATACCACCATTTTAGAAAGGGATGTGGGGAGAGGAATAGAAAACCACAGTCAGGTGACTAAAGTAAGAAAAGCTTTTTCTTAGCAGGAGACCAATGTGAGTGGCAGAATTCTGTGAGCCAGGATACAAACCCACAAGGACCATAAACCCAAAGGTTACTCATATCATACAACACGCTTCCTGAACTCCTGGGGAGATCACTCTTGGAGGGCACGTTGAAGAGCAAGGAAGCAACTTCAGTCTGAAATGACTGACACATTTCTGCTTCCTGGCAGAAGAGATCACTAGGATCATATACATTTGGTTTCTTGCACAACAAAACCACAGAATTATTAAAGAGGATAGAAGTGTTCTTTCCACATGAACAATACATATCTGTTTGCTTTCAACTCATGATAGCTGTTTCCCAGATCCAGGTCCATGGATCTGGTTGCTGGTTGGTGTCATTTAAGAAAGGTGTTTGTATGTTCTAGCAGAGTATTTTACTGCACATCATGACCTGTCCACATCTTTCTAATAGTTTCTCTTTAATATTGGCATATGCGCTGGGAATTGAGAATTAAGAGCATTACCTGGTCCATTTTTCCTTTTTGGGATAAAACATTTAGTATTTGCTGTGTTTGGCCCAACAACTTAATGTCAGGTGCCAAATGATTTTGGGCAAAGGGTGGAGGACTAGATGGCCAGCACAGCAGCTGTAATGGACCTTATGGAATATAACTGCGAAAGTTTATTCCAGATCAATAATGGACGTGCATTAACAGTGGCCTCAGACACAGAGATTTGCAAGCTGCTAGTGATTCCAAAGAGAATATGAAAATTCCTTTCAAGTGAAGGTTTGGAAGACAAGAAGAAAAACACAAGTACTTCATGATACAATTACGATGTTTTCACCCAGGGAAGCTATTTTGCTCTTTGCACAGTGCATTTAAACCATATTTTACACATTTTTTAGTTCCTTCCTTGCACTGCATCTGATTGAGAAACACAGCACAGCACTCAGCACCTTTTACAATAACTGAACAATGATATCAAAAAGTGTCTTTAGCTGTGTCCATTATAGGTAAGGAAATGAGAGACAGGGATCAGCTGGACGCATGGACAAATGAACACAATTTAAAGCTATTGCAAGAACACTAATCCTGGTACTTTTGGGGTAGTACCAGTCACTTCTGTTGTGTCTGCTACTTCAAATTCATCACAGAAAACGGAAATCGTCTTTTATATTCTAGTAATAAGACCCAATAAGACCCACTGAGGAGACTCATCTCTTAAGCGAGATGGAGAAGACTACAACAAGGGAGTAGCCCCAGATGGACCAGTTTGCAGCCCTATCACAATTTTGAAGTCAAGTTCTGAAGGACAGGCCATTGTTTCCCAGAAAAATAATGTTAGCTGGAACTGAGAAATTGCTGCATCTACCCAAAGGGCCATGGTGCCTGTGCAAGAGATAATAGCATGGAGACATCTGGTAGTACTTTGTTCTTCATGTCAGTTTACAGAACATTCATAATTGGTTTGTACCTTACTAGTCCCACGAGATGGGCAAAAGGATTGTATCCCTGCTACCAGGTGAAGCAACTGCAGACAGGTTTATAATGTTTAAGCTGTTCAATATATAGTATCATCATTTTATCACATATGATAGTTTCACAACTTTGTTCAGCCTCCCCATACAAAGTACTCATTTACTTTAGCAATTTTGTAATGAATTTTATTTTCTTTACTTTTCTCGCTATATACCGTGGGGCCAGGTTCTATTCCATAGGGTGAGCGAGACAGCAGAAGAAAACTTCATCACACGAACCACAGAATCTCACCATGTTCAGCCTGTATTTGATTGCAGTAAATCACACTTAACTGAGTATTGTTGTTCCTGGCATTTGCGTAGAATGGTCTATACTGTTTTCCAGAGGACTAACTACACTCTCGTGTCACACTGGTTAACCACACTCACCCTCTGCATGTCCAGACTGAAAGTACTCATGCTTGTGAGTTCCCACCTAGAAGATAGCTGTTTCTTCTCTCATACAGATCAGATAACATTGTCTACTGTAAATGCATCATATTTGTAAGCAGTAGAACAACACTCACCAACCTAACATGCAACATCTGCAAAGAACTTTCACCAAAAAATGTTCTTTAAAACAAGCATCTTAATCTAAGAAATATGCTTCCCTCTTTCAACTCTTTTTCAGAGCGCTCAAGTAAACTCCACTTTGAATTTAGAAATATTTGTATTTTTGCAAGAAATAGTTAACTAAAATCTGTTCAAGATAAAAACATTAAAGTAAGTCTTCAACATGTATTGGTAGTTATGTAAAACGTCTTTCTAAAACTTTATTACATTCACTCTTTTCACTTTGTCAGCTAAATCCATGAAGGGCACAAAGAGTAACAAGTTTACAAGTTTTCTTCTGCACAGGTCTGTATCAAATGGATCATCATACTAATCAACTCCATCACCACTATTCTTAATTAGTTAATGATCTATGTATGTGCGCTAGGCTAATCAGTCTGTAATTCCAATTATTCTTTTCTATTTTCTTTTTGTAAGAGGGCACAGACAATGCTTTCATTATTTCCAATCTTCATTATTTCCTTAAATGCATTTGTGACAATGCACTTTGTTTCCAGTTTTGTACAAATTCCTTTTAAAAAAAAGAAGTCAGAGGGTTCCTAATGGCTTCTTGCCATTCTTCTTTTTCCCTTGTCAGCACAGTCAGATAATCACCTCAGTAAATGAAAGTAACTGGCACTGATTTACCTTTTCTGCTACTTCTCGCACTGATTGGACACTTGTTCCATAAAGATGATTATTGTACTGGCCAGCTTCAATGAATTTGTGATCCTGAATATCCTTCTCCATTTGCTCTCGAGAAGTGACAAAATGGTAATCGCGTCCATCCACCTCATAATCTCGTTTTGGTCTAGTAGTATCTTTAAATATAAACCAGTAATTTTTAAAGCAAAACAAAAAACAGTGACTTTTTTCCTTACAATATCCAAAAATAGTCTCCCATTTATACTGCAAAATCGTCACAAGCAGAGAGATGACTGACAACTAAGATAGCTCTAGAAAGTTTAGACAATATATTAACTTCTTTTTAACTCAACATACAGAGGATGTCTATTAAGAAAATTAATACAAAAATAATTTCAAATTGCTTTAGTATTTGCTGAGACTTACGTGGAACACATGAGCCAAATTTGTCTGGAAATTCTGAGATGAGATCATCATTTATTCTGTCTTTCATGGGTCCCAAAACAATCACAGGTCGAGTATAACTGACTATTAAACACAGAGGAATAACATCAGTTACATTTCAGTATGATTGCTTTCTTGTACAGTTCAGCAAAATAAGCTTTATCATATGGTAATGGTTTTAATACCTAAAATAATATGCATTCCTAAAGAGAAGAAAATCACATTGAAGAACATATATCAATTAATGCTGTAGTCACAGTAAGATGGTTAGATCTTCACTCTCAAATCACTATCCTGGGGGATCAAAGAAGTCTTAAATTATGAAATCTTGGGCGGGGGGGAGGGGAATATCTTTTCACAAAGTAACATCCTTCATTCTAGTGAAAGCAGCAAAAGGAGGAAGTGTGACATCTTTTCACTTCAGAGAAGTACCTAAGCAGTACCAGAATTCATGAAATTCTAGTTCTGTGTTGGGCAAAGCTCCTCTTCCTCTAGGACCACAACTTAAATACTCACATGAATAGGATTCACCTATATATAGCTTCTGTAACTATCGACACCCTTATAAGATGAAGTATAGCATCTTTTAAAAGCAGCTTAATTTTTTATGAAGTTATAAAGGGCTTCTGGTTGGAAGTTAAGCTCAAGCAGAAAATACTATGGATTATACTTCAAGAACCACGAAGACAAGAATGTCTAAGTATCTTGGCATTAGCATATAATTTCAGCTGTATAAATTTTAGTTTTAGGTTTAATCCGTCTTTACTGCACAAATAAGTCCAAACTAAAGCCTGACCTATAAAATATACTTTACTTTGATTCATGGAACTATTTCCTTTCAGGGGTATTAATAAATTCATAAAAGGCATGTCTGGGATTGTGTAGCTGTCAGCCTATTAATTTAACAATCAACATTTTTGCTTAAAGACTAAGACACAATAGTGTCTCAAATCTAAGCACCTTTAAATCTCTTTTGGTCATTGCAGTTCTTTATTCCTTTGGGCTCCTTAAAAAATAAAAAAATACTGTGGAAGTGAATTAGTGGACAAATGCAGATAACATGCAGGGAACGCATTACAGCACCTAAGCAAAGGAACAAGGTGCTGGTGCTTTTATGGCCTTCCCCATACACTATGTTAGACTCATAAAGGGAATCAGAGTTATATATTTAAATGCCAAAGTACTTGGCTCTCTAAAAACTTTAGTTTTACAATATGGTAGTGACTAAACTGTTGGCTTGTATAAAGTCTCATTCACATCTTTTCTCTTCAACCTCAACATTAATTCACTCGGTATTACTATCGTTCTCACTAAACCATTAAGCTATCAGAAGCCGGGAAGCTAATGCCAGTTAAAAAGATGTTTCTCATTTTGTGAGCCTCTCTGGCGTGCATACCCACACAGACCCAGCAGCTGCTTGTTCAAGGATAACAACGCTCTGGCTCCCCAGCTTAAGCATAGCTGACTCAGCACATCAAAGAGGGCCTACCATTTCCCCATTTCTAGCATGGTCTCGACTCATGCACTTCTCATCCATTACTTTATTCGGAGCCCACTAAAATTACAGATTACAGGATATAAGTAATGCAGTTTGCGTTAGCGTTGCATAACAATTTTTACTACTTTTGGAAGCTTACTGATGAAATGGAGCCCATATGTGATGATTAACAAGTTGGAATGGAAAGTGTATACAGGCACATGTATTCCATAATGCTATTAAAAGCAATGGGGTTGTGCCACTCACTGCATACAACCAAAAATTAAACCTCAACACACAAAATTCAGGTAAATACACGATGTATATTTACTTCAACTGCCACCTTATTTGATAGGTAATAAATAACAAGTATTCCCAATGGACACCCCTTTTACAGATTAATTTACAAATATATGAGCTATGTATCAGATAATGTCAATCAACTGTTAGCACCTATGGTGGTGAAGGGGACCACTAAAAATACTGTATCTATTATACACAGTGAAGCAAGATCAGGACCAAGGTGAAAAGGAAATGACAGCATCCCCATGGAAACCAGCAAAAAGCATTTCTTCTAAATGCAAGTGTGAGAAAATATTTTGTCCTATCAATTTCCGTTTCATTATTTTTTTTCCCCTAATAAAAAAAAACACACACTTGGCAATTGCTAACCAAATTAGCCATATAAGCAGCCCACAGAGAAATGGGAGACTTCCATGTCTTAAAGACATTTCAATTAAAGCTTGCTAAAATAGACAAATGATCTATTGACACACTTTTTGCTGTGACAGAAAAAAAACTGCAACAGCAGTACGAAACAGAAGTATAATTTCTGAGGTTTACACTGATGAAACTGTTAAACGTACCATATTTTCCTTATGCAATGTAAATCACACAAGTTATTTTAAGTAGCACACCTTTGGATTGTGCACTAAATAATTTAGCAATTGCATTTAATAATTTATGCTTTTATGCTTTATTCATTTGAATAATGGTAACAAGTTCAAAACAGTGAAGAAGTTTATCATGCTGCTCAGTACATAAGGGTACATCAAGTATTCTGGTAATTCAGATGCTATTTATTTTATACTTAGTGAGATCTACAAACCTTCTTGCTGATTGACTGGTTCATATGACAAGACATATTCCTCTTGGCCACCTGAAATGTAAATGCAACAACATATCTATGTAATTTTTTCTAAAACAACATATTTAAATTGAGTCATTCAATGAACTATAATGATACAGCCATTCCTCAGTAATATACATTACAATGTTACTGATGAAGGATATTTTTCAAGAGCAATGAATTATAAAAATCACAAAGATAAGCCAAACACAAAATTTTAAAGCATAACACACAAATAATTTCCTCGTTTATGTTAGCATGTCAAACTGACATCAAGCACAAGAATAACTTTAAAGCATTACTGAAATGCTCTTATACACATTCCCCTGAATGAAATGCATGCATGCCATCATTCACTGCTAGACGCGATGCCACCTTCATCTTGAACATTCTCTAGACTTTGAAGCCATCATTGACAGTAATGTTTTTCTGTATTTATACAGGGCTGACAAACATGTATGTCAAGGTGTACATGTCTTCCATTAACTTTATCATTGTGGCACTTATATACCTTCAACCACTCTAATTCTACCAAAATAATTATGATTGTATATACTAAATAACTATTATTTTATTAGTGATTTTTTAAAGATGAACTTGAAAACAAAAAATGCTTTGTATTATTCTCAGCTCCAGAAAGCACATCAGCAGTGAATGAAACTAAAATGACTGAATTTTGACCTTTGACAGCTGCAGGCTTTTTAAATGTTAGTGAAAGCATCCGAAATATACCTCAGTTGCCATCTCTCTCAAAGATGATCTCTAGTCTAACAAGGTATCTCTGAGTAAGATGTTTTGCAATGGAATTTCTAAAAATTAACTCCATGACAGCAAAGAATTTCTAAATCTGAACATACAAGGTCAAATTATATGACATTACTATGAACGTTGAATAAAATACAGTCCTTCAATAACTCACTCGTGTAATTTTGGAACATTCTTTGTAGTTCATAAGCCATACTTAAAAGAGGCAAAGAACATACCAGTGCTGTACCACAGTTGTACAGAAACAGATTGCAGATAAAGGCTTTTATAAATTCTTATATTGCTTCTATATATCTGTTCTTTATTTCATAGCAAATACCATTGATCTTTTAAATCTAAAATTTACAACTTCAGTAAGAGAAGTATTTCTCTTATTTGCATTAAAGTTATATTACAGCAATACATGAGTAAGTATTTTAATTTTTTAAGTTATTGCAAGTGAGGAATACGTTAAGACAGACATGAAAACATGCAACCTGTATATTTCAATATCTCAAAAAGTTACTCATGCAAATGGAATTTAGAAGGACAGTATATACTTTCAGAACCCCTTTTAAGCTAGGGAGAGGAATAGGGAATCATCAGCTATGGACTCATCTATGAAAGATCCAACTCATATATAATTAGATACTTCTTTGGAGAAGTAACGTTTTTCTAAGGTCAAAAATCAGTTAAGGAAACTACTAAAGAGATAATAACAAGTAAAAAGCATCCCCTGATTGAGGGCAAAAAGTATATATTGTCGCTGCTTTTCAATACTTTGGAAAAATGAATATTAATAGAATGAACCTTTTGAACAACCGTACTCATCTGTAATCAAGATAACTTTCATATTAGACAGCAGTAAGAAGAAATTTAAAAAATCATTTTAATAAAAATTACTTGCAATGACACATTCAGATAAGAAAATCCATGGCATTCATAATAAAATCAGGGCTTCTCAAGTAGTAACAGAGTAAAAAACTACTAGTACCAATAATGAGCTTTAAACATACATAAAGCAAGCTCTGAGAAAAACTTTGGGGCAAGGAGGCAGGGAAGAGAGGAAAGCAGCAAATTTTTGGAGAAACAGTCATGGTTAGATAGTTTTAATGGTGTGTCATTACAAATGGTTAAAATTTGTAAGTTTGTCGTATAGGCAAAGGCAACTTCCATACATGCTCAATTTTGTGTTACTCTCAGGGAACACGAATGCCTCCCCCAATTGCTTTCTTTTCAATTACAGTCTATGACACTGTTAGCATTGTAAGCACTGGGGATTTTATACGTAGGTATAAATTCTCTCCTTGAGTGTAATCATCTGGAAGAAAAAATGTGGACGATCACGTCTGAGAAGATCTACAGCTTCCAAACAAATATATCTGTTAATGAACCACCTTCCTTGTTACCCTAACATAAAAAATACCTGTTTCTATAGTGCCCATTATACAGTTAGCAGGCAACCAGGAGCTGATCAGCGTGCCACTCAGTGTCACACTGCGTGACTTTTACTGTTCCTTCTTTTCACATTCCTCTTCAAATCCTCAACTTTTTCATCTTCCTGCTCTGCTCTATCCTGGGTTCCAGGTCCGGACTGTGCGACCTTACTAAGGAGTTGTTCAGTGGACATGACCAGTGGGACTGAAGTTCTGGCTCTGGTTTAAGACATTTTAAAGCATTGTAGAGCAACATCATGCAGCATGTTACCCACTGTGAACATGTAGAACTACTGTAGCTTGAGCTAGTAAAAAAGCTAACTCAGTCTAGTATTTAAAAGGTACTATGTCTTCAGAGAGAGAGAACATGCATGCCTAGCATGCTAATTTATCATAACTGACTCCACCACTGAATGTGTGCTCTATGCTTTGAAGACAATTCATAGTAAGCACCCACTTGACAAAAATAGATAAATGAAAGCTGAAAGCAAGGGTAAACACGTTTGCTTATCTTTACTTTCATTAGAAGTATATACAGATTAAATCTGAGTATCAGTTGCGAAAAATTGTAGTTATTGCACTATTTAACAGATTACACAGTTTAGTTATGCTTCCAATATTAAGCTCAACTACATATAATTATATTTGTCAGCATTAAATTTACATTTAGGTTTTAATAGGTCTAGTTAGCTCACATAATTTAAAAAAGAGGAATAGATTCAAATTAAGATGAACTAACAAAATCATAGATCACAATATCCATAAAGGAGGTTTGCAATGATTCTTTCTAGTCAGTTTTTTAGAAACAAAGACACAGCACAATTTGCAGTACTCCACCAAACACATGAATATGGATTTCACCTGAAGGTGACTGGGAACTTCTATTTAACATGTAAATACCCAGAAAAGACAAGACAAACAAAACCAAAGAAAGAACTACTAAACAAAGGTTCTAAATAAACAAAGAACTTAAAAACACTTACGGTAACTACTTTCACTATCGCTGGCATTAGAGGTTACATGCTCTGAAATTGCAACACAATGGGAAAAAAAAAATAAGGAACATACACTAATGGCATGAGTCCAAAAGAAAGCAAATCGACACAAAATAATCCAGATGAAAGACAATACCGATACCAAAATGCTGAAATAAATACATACTGCATACAAAAGTTTTAAGGTACTTCTCATAGCTCTCAGGATCAAGCTTAATTTCATATGAAAGGAATTGATGTTAATAAAAAGAAAAACATTAAATAGCACATCAAAATAAGATTACAAAAAGTACACTAATTCATAGTTCACATGTAATCCTGCAATTCTGGGTTTTTCACTATTGTCACTGGGCAATATTGCAGGAATTATAGTCTAGAACATCCAAAAATAGATACTTTCCTATGGCATATTAAATAATTTACTTGAAGTGTAATGCACAATTAAGTTTGTGTTGCATTTGTTGGGTTTTTTTCTCTCTCCAGTAATGCTTTAGTTTTCAAAAGCTCCTGACTTTTATTATGGACTATCTATATTAATTTCATGCCTTGTGCACAGTAATCAAAATACTTCAGTAGCTACAATGTGTTTATATTTACTGCTTTAAGCTATGTAACTGTGTTAAATAGGTTTATGATAAAAAAAATAATGCAAATTAAAAATTTCAGGTATCAATCTATTCTGCTACCTGAAAATTCTACAAATCCGGTGAACAAACATGAACTTTGATATTGCTGAACTTTACTGTAAAGAATCAGTTTTCATGCCGCTCAACGAGTGTGTCTATTTGTAATAAAAAACACTAGTGTTCACAGGTTAAGACTGCATAAATAAGCTTGTGTTTGACCTATACAAATTAAATACCATTAATTTGAAATTATGTACCTAACTGTGTGCATATGATAATACACATTGTTGTCATGAAGAGCCTTTATAATATATTAAATTCAGCGTGGTTCCCCGCCTACAAGACTGAAGAGAAGGAAGCAAGGGGACTCCAGAGGCAAGAACACAGTTACAAAGCAAGTATGCTTCTAGTGACTAAAAAACATTAAAAAAAGTTAGACATCACATGTAAACTAACTAACTTTTTAACACTTTTTTGGATAAAGTGAACTAATATCTTTAAACCGCACATCTCTGGCTAGATTGAACTCCCTCATTTCATTTCTGTGCAGGCAAAAAAGACAAATACTTCCTAATGTTTGCGAGTACCAGCAATTTGGATCTACTTCCATTTCATTTTCTTGCCTTGGAAAAAGAATGTCCACATTGGTGTGGAAGAGACAAGTAGTGATGTTTAAAAGCCTCGTGGCAGAACATGAAGGGGAGACATTGTCAACTGAGAATACAGGTGTTGTGGTAGTCTGAAAATGGGCACAACTGGTGACGATGTAAAGCCTAAAATGCCCACAAGAACAGCGGTCTTGCAGAGCCCAAGTAATACAGCTTGCATTAAGTGTGGTAAGGCAGTTTCAAAAGGTCTGACTGTGCTGAAAAACTGGCTAGAAGCCATTTGTTTTTGTAACAGAACTGCCTAGTGACAGTTCTGGACCATATTACATCATTTAAACTAGGTGTGATCATAAAGCCATAAAAGCTGCTTATGATTTTCTGCTCTAAACCGTAAGGCCATAAAGTTTGCTAAGGTCTTCTGCTCTAGACCAAGAATCCCCCTGAAACTAGCTATTTCAGAAATGGAAAATTAATGTTACAGGTACTAGAACTTTTATTCCATGATTGAGGCCAAGTATAGAAGTACACTGTTTCTTACATGTAATTTCAGGAACACTCTGAATAAGAGTTATGCCCTGGGAAGAAATGGTATTTTTAATGACCTTTAGTCACATATCTTCAGTGACTAATTTTGCTATTCCTTAAACACATAACAATGTATATGTTTAATATCTGTGATGAAAGTAAGGTCTTGACTTTTTATTTGTCATTTCGCTACAGTGGTCATGTCTGTGTACACAAACAGATCTATTAAGAGTACTCAGCAACTTTTGAATCTTCAAGTATTTAACACTTCTGCAAGAAATACAACAAATGCTTATGTGTCTCCTCTCCTCTATTAGCTACCCCTCTACCTGGTCGAAAAGCATCATAAGAGTTCAAATAAGTCAGACAAAAACTCTCATGGCATTTGTTAAGCAAACTTTTTTGTTTTAAGTAGCTGTAAACGTCAGTCACCTAGAGAGAGGATTGAAAACTGTAACTAGTTAAAGTATTAAGGCAACAGTTGTACTATCGCTGTAAAAAGCCGTAGGTTATTTTTAGATAAATGAAAACACGAAAACAAGATAGAAGTGACATGAAAAAATCACCAAAAACCACAGTACTATTAAGGACAAACAAGTAAGTGCTGGTAAGCTTCTGAACAACAAAAAATATCTGATGTGATAGTCACACGAACTTAAAGTAACACATTCCTGAAAGCAAAAATCCCCAGAACATTACAAACTAGAAAATGCTTATGAAACATTTTGAGAGTCAACCTCCTTATGCCAGTAGAGCACCAGTCTCAAAGAGATCTGTTAGAGAAAAAAAAAAGTATTTTTTCAGATGGAGGTTAAAATAACTTGGGAGTATTTTGATCACTTACTCAGGCCTTTTGATCCCATGTCGTCAGGGACCTCCTGCAGAGTAGTCCCCAGAGGGCAAGCAATAAAAAGACAATCACAAAGAAAATAATTGTCAGTAATATATAAAATTGGCGCTACGACAGGAGACAGTTCCCAGAACATCACAGGGGAAGATAAGTCAATAGGATTTGAACTGACTGGCACATGAAGCGTAATCAGTGATGCAAATGGCAGAGAATGCAGTTTGTAGCAGATCTGGTCTGAATTAGCAAACTTATGCAACTGCTTTTTGAGAAGACACTGGCAACAATGATGAGAATCAAAGCAACCTCTCTTAATTAGGAAAACCAAATTAGAATTAATGACTTTGAAGAAACCAGTCTACAGGGACTGATTTGAGAAGCCAGTAAACTCCGTTATACCTTCTTTGCCGCTGTGCCCTCTCCTCCAAGTCAGAAATGAGGCACCACCACTGACAGCGCTGGAAGGCTGTCATGTCCTCCAGTCACGTACACACTGCTACTCAACGGCATTTCCCAGGTTATTCCAAACTGGGATACTCTTGGGTTAAATTTTACTTTAACATCAAACAAATGGTTTTATTGATTTTGTAGATGGGTTTGCCATTGGCACCTCAAGTTCGTTAGCCTGTTGCAGCTCATGAAACTGTCTCCATGGTAACACCCTACTGCAATCTAGCAGGCCCTTCTACGTGTGCTTCGCTCGGCGTCCAGTGCCACATACTTACGGTCAATATCACTGGTTTCCTGCTCACTCTGGTCCTTGTTCTTGTAGAAGGGAAATTTTCGGGAAAAGAGGTTCTTTTTACGCTTGTCATTGAATGACTGCTGAAGAAGAGAAGGAGGGGCAAAACAAAGGATGTCTAATGTCTGTGTGAACAAAGGCCCAGACCAGCAGCTTTGTGGAAGCTGACTCCTATAACCACATTATGCAGTGCATATTTCAGTTTAACATTATCTTCTCAGCTCATTACAAATAGAGATGGGGATCATGGCTCTGCTCATACCCGCAAAATTTCACATGCTTACTACGGAGAGAATGGGCAGGCTGGTTCATCCTATATGGCCTGACCTGTATTTCACAAATTTAGGCCTGCTGGGAGTATAAAAAGATGGCGAAAAACTAGGCTGCTGTAAGATGGCCAAACCATAATGAACCCAAAGTCAATTATATCACTGATACTATCTAATATAGAGGTTACATTATTTTAAAAAGCACTGAGGCTCTACACTTGTTTTTGCAAACAGCTGACATCATAACAGCACACCAGAAGTATTTGCCAGTGTTACCCATTTGCAGAGGCAAAACTGTAAACACTTTGGTGACAACTCCTACATAACTTATCATACAGTAAAGAAAAATGGAAGTTAAAAGCTGGCATTGTACCAAATGCTCTTACAATAAAACTAAGTAAGAGTGAAATAGGAAAAAGGGAAAAAAGAAATGGGTCTAGCTAAAATATCCAAACAGTAAAAAAAAAGAAAAACAAACCATCAAAACCCAAAACAAAACTTGTTTCAGTCTTTCACAATTGCAATTCATTGGCAGTTCACTGAAAGAAATGACTTTGCTCTACGTAAGCCTGCATCCCAATACCAAGATTAACTTTCAAAAGATACAAATTCATTTAATTTGCTTATTGTGGCAATTATTTTTTTCAAGGGTGCATTTATAGGTAATTACCACATGAAAAACCACTGTGTCCAAGGACCATGTTCATCAACTTTTGACATTAACTGCTTATGTTGCTGAAGAATTTCTGCATTTCAGTTACTACAAAGATTTCTGAAGTTACCTATATAGATATATACATATCAAGCAATTTGAATATAAACTATCATTGCGCTCCTTCCCTGAGTGATAGAGAGCATCAACTTATTTTCACTCATATATAGGTATGGCTACAGGTGTAATTAACACAGAATTTAGTAACATCTGCAACACCTTCTGCTGAGGACATTATGTGACTACAGCACCTTTAATTTACTGTTCTAAGTCAATAAAGAAACTCAATGTATAAATAAATCGATAACATTTTTATTGCAATTATGTCCAGAACTAGAACTAATACAGCTAACTTGAAGCCAGCTGAAATTTCTTTTCATCTTTAAGCATAAGTGAATCATCTGCCCAGTTTTGTGAAGACATGAAATTTGCCATGTTTTTGTCATTTGGTTTGCAGAAACTCTATTATGGGAAGGATGGCAAAATTAAGAAAATGCCCAACTTGGTTTTGAGACTCTATGCTGCTGGGGGACTGTTTATTTCTAAGCCAAGCAGAGCCCATGTGCCGCAGGAAGTAATAAAACTTCCACACGGCCGTTTTTTAGAAGCTACTTTAAAAAAAAAATTAAATTCATACATTAAGAACTCTGGTAACAGCTATTTCTGAAGTTTGGAGCACGTTAACTTTCAAGTAATTGTCTGTCTGTCTTCAGCTAATGTGAGCTCATCTTCCTCTATTATAAGCAATATAGTTGCAAAAAGATATATTACCTTTTCTACCAGCATTAAGTATGGAATTAAATATAGTAACAATTGGGGGTCAAATAGGACAAAGTTTTTTCAAACAGTGGGCCACCTTCTTTGGTACAATTACAAAACTAGCATTTGGTCTTCCTAAAGAGAATGCCTATAGTGCAACACACAAGCTGCATGCTGCTACAGTATTAACGATCCTTCTGGCCATCTGTTTTAATACAGACTTGCTTGGCAGTATCAGATACGGGAACATCCAGTGATATTTTCATTACTATTGTTTAAAAAAAAAGTTTACTTAAAATTACCAGGTGTTAAAGAGGCACATTGTACCATGGGAGCATAATCAGTGACATTGAGCTCTGGAAATAGCAATACTGTGTTAAGTAGGAAATCCATAAAACCTTTAATTGGCTGGCATCTGTGTTCAACTAAAACTGTCATTCCACTGTAAGAATTGGTAAATTATCAACCTGACATATGGACAAAAGAACTGGTTGCGAGCCAATCATATGCTTGCAGGAACGTAGTTGGCACAGGCGAGGTTTTAGGTTATGGTCCTCCTGACCTTCTTTATCTGAAGTCAACAAGTCATTGCAATTGATTTCTCATAACCAGAAAGATTAACGTAATCTACAGAACACAGGCAACAAAGAAATATGCCCCGAGTTTCAAAAAGTGGAAGTCTCTCATCTATGTAGTTGTTCCATTCGGACAACTCCCTCAGTCTGAGCAAAGTAATAGGGGAAATAAATGTAACAAAGCTCAAATGGTGCAGTTTAACTGAGGTGGTGAGACTCTGCAATTCGTATAGTTAAAATAAAAGGAGTGGCTGATTTATTGTACTGCATAAAACATAATTGGGTTCCTCATTTTAGTTTTGAAAATATTTCATAACAATAATTATTTTAACTTTCTGTACAGTAAATCTTACTGAACTAATATTGAATTTTATATACTGCATGTATAATGGTTAGAGTCAGTTCCATTGCCAAAAAAAAGAGAAAATAAAATATTATACTGATTTTGCATAAAAGATTAGCCAAAAGATTATTTTTAAAAGATATCATGATTATAAAAAGCCAGATAGAATTGCTTATTAGTTGAAAATGCACAGTAATTGTATTAAATTTTTCATAAGCCCACTGCAAATCATAAACAGGCATCATAAGCAAGAATATATTAAAACAGAAGCAGCACAGAAAGTGAGATGAATGTGTATATGAAAGGAACAAACAAGAAAAAATGTAACCATTTCTGCTCAAGATTTTTTAGCTTTCCTTAAAATTAAAGGATTTTAATGTTTGCCATCACTAGGGTTATTCTTGAAGGTTTAAATGTAGGAATTTTGAAGAATTGTACAAAGTTGGTATTTCATCCTGTCCATGGAGTACTATCATATACAGACACAGGAAGGCACACAGTCCATGAGGATATGTACGGTGCAGACAACTTACTAGGAAAAATATCACCATGACAAGCACAGGAAGAATACTTTAAGGAGAAACCATAACATTAAAACATTTACAGCTGAAGCAAAAGATTGTGAACAGTGTAAGCATGTTTGCAAAATGAAATGTTACTAAAGAAAAAGAACCGCAGTTCTGTATCAATGGCAAGCGTAGTTGCTTTTCCACTCAGTATTCCATGCATCTCTTTGGTGCTATGCTAGTACACAGTGCCTGTGCACTAACTCTGCAATTGTCAAAATGCTACTTCGAATACATCATTAATCAAGTTAACTGTTTGCAGTTTATTGGTAGACAAACTACAAAACCAGGCAATTATCTTTCAAAGAACATGGTAACATTTGAAAAATTATTTAATGTAATTTAAAAAAATCTGAAGTATTTAAGCCATTTTCTTTATGCGACTTCTAAAAAGTGAACTCATATAAAAGTGATCAGGTTAATAATTATCACATCAGTTGATAACATTTTATTCCAATATCAAAATATGAATGTACCAAAACAGAAAAAACCTGCAAATAATCCAGTGAATCCACAAGTCAATACTGTAATTTTTAATCAGAAAATAACTGGAGATACTGATTTCCTTTTAAACAATTATAGAAACAACCATGGCATTTTCTTCATTAAGAAACTAAACTGAAACCTTTGCCATGTAGCAGAGGGATGTACGTACGAATTCGATAGTCTTTAAAGTCCTACACTATCAGGAGGAAATACTGAAGCTTTAATACCTTACGTGATTTTTTGAAGTTATGAAAACATTGTAACTGAAATAAATGACTAGAAGGAATGTTTGGGTTCTATAATAATGATTGACTAATGTTAGAGCAGTAGTGCTATTAAAAAAAATAATCACTATTTAAGAAACAGCTTTCTCAGGAGCTTAAAGCATGTTTCACATTTTAAAAAATTATAATATATTATTACTTCAGAAGGCTCTTACATCTAAAATGCATATACCTAAGTCTTGAAATTACTAGTTATATACTATTGGTAGGAATTGTAAGGTTGTGAAATTGTTTCTCAAATTTCAAAATGTCCAAAACATTGCAGAAAAGCCTCACCCTCAAAATAAAAAAAAAAATTGGCTGCTTTACCGTGATGAAATTGCTATAATTTCAGCTACAAACACTCCTATTACCAAAGTAGCTACGCTGCTTTCTCACCACTCAGTCCCATCATGTGTACTGGGACAGGGATTGCGTATCGTGCAGTGAACTGCACCAAAGGATTGACTAAAATTAAAACCAGGATTTCTCTTGTATGGGCTTATTTTTCATCTGCATTGGTTATTTTACATGATTTGAGCACAGCCACATCAGTATTTGTGCCAATAGCGACTGGCAGTGAGAAAGAACATCTGTGAGATGGAGACTGATTCTGGTCAACAATGGCACTAGTCTTGAGTTTTTGTTGGCCTGTGCCCTTGTCTTTAAAGCTTCTGCATCCATAACTGTAACAAAGAAGTTACTTTATATTGTTTGTGTAACTGTGTACATCGTAAAACCTTATTTTATCATAGGGACACTGTTGAGCTCTACTGCCTTGTTTTCCATATGCATTAACAAACTTTAAAGAAAGGAACATATTACTTTTTCTGAAAATTGGTAGTGAGCCCCTCCCCAAAAAAAAGGGAGTCCAGGAGTACAATCCATACTAAAGGACCCAACTGCTTTATAAACAGCACTTGCAGAGCTGTTAGAAATGGCACTATTCAATACTTGATTAGTAGCTACAATTCCTATTACATTACAGTAATAGTGATAACATATACTTCTAAGCTAATTCTTCAAACAATTTGCAGTGTTTTGGCAATGGTTTACTACTAAAGTTAGCTTTGGTGCTCAGAATTATTTTTATTTGACAGCATTTAATCTTTTGACTAAAAACTGAATCTAAGTCCACATAGATCAACCACTGAAAAATGTTACCATTCACAATGCCAGGTGTAATTAGTACTTCATTAACTCACCCCTTTATCTCCTCTTGTTTTGGAATTGAATTTCACTGTCTTTAAACGGGCTCGTTCTTTTTTCTCAACTCTACCACAAAAACATACACAAAAAAACAGTTAAATCAGAAAAATTCCAGAACTTCAAGTTACTACTTTTTACAATGTAAGCATACAGGTGTACCTTTCGTAGTACAGGTTTTTGTTGGTGATTGACACCTTCAGAAAATGGCAGCATGCTAGTGGCAGACTATTGGAAAAGTAGTATTATTTCTCAAGTGATGAGCTGTGAGGGTATTGTAATTTTGTAATTATACAGGTTCAGTAAATCAGGGGGCAAAAAGAAAAAGCATGTCACAATAAGTGAGCAGCCTCAATTACCAGTCAACAGCAAATACTAAGATTCAAAGCACCTAATCTCTTATTTGGGTCTCTCGATATGCCAGCAAACACCTAGTCTCTGTTTACTCTGGCCACCAAAGAAAGACTTTCCAGTTTCCTAAGTTTTGGGTAGAAAGAATTCATTATAGTGTCACGATTCAAACAAAATGTACTTTGCACCTTTTCATACGTAGATGGTATAACGTTATTAAACCCGTAACTTGCTTACAGTGAAAAAAGAGAAATGGACTTGGACCACCTTTATCAACTTCAGCATGCAACTCCTAAGGCTAAATAGGATTTTAACAAACTTCTCATTAAGTCAGAATCCCACTACAGATTATTAAAAATAAACAAAAACAAAACCCCGAAAACCACAGAAGTGGCTGATGTGATACAGAATTAACAACAAAGAGCAAAGCATATGCAATATATGTATTAAAGTCACCTCAAAGTCAATAAAATATCATGACATACCTGCGTTTGCTTGGGATAACTCCAATTTCATCACTTTCTCCATCTGGAGTTACCTGCCGTGCTTGCCACCATTCATCATCAGAAGCATTAATGACATGGAGAATATCACCAAATTTGAAGTTCAATCCTTGACTTGGAAGGCCACTATCTTTAGTCTTGTCATAATCAAAAAGAGCTCTACATTGAAAAGAAAAAAACAAACAGAGAAAAAGCAAGAAAAAAGCATGGGAGTATGAATAGCACAAATATGAAGCTGCCTATGTTGTTCACCAACAACTGAATCATTCTGACAGTTGCATGCTGAATGCATTCTCTCTCTCATATATACACACACAGAGAATATATAGTGCAGTATTCACACACACTTAGAAGTTTTAATGAGAACAAACTTTGTCCAGAGCAGAATGCTAGTACTTTGCAAAATGTCCATAGAAGATGCCTCCTGCAATTCAGTAAGTACTTTGCACAGAGCAAGTTACATGTCAGCCTAGAGAAAAAAAGGCAAGTATTTGAAGCATACAGCACTGTCAAAAGTTCTGTACGTTGTTTTATATCAAGTTAAAAATTGGAATTATTTTATTAAATAAAAATTACTGTGTTTAAAGTGAAAGTCGATATCCTGCTTACAGGGCGGTGGGAAAAAAAGAAAGCTTAGAAATATGATCTGAACACAACTTTGCTAACTGCGGTACCCAAAGGCAAAGAACTTTATTTACATTCTTTTGGAAAATTCCCAACCATTTCAAGAGAGTCTCATCCTTTTTTCTAAGGTAAGCCTGTTTTCAAATAACAGGCACTAGCAATACCAGAACACCCGCTGCATGGGTACAGCTTTATTAACATTCCCTTTGCCAGCAAGCTTGGTTTATGCAAGTCCACTATTATCCATACCCACACGCCTGCTTTGTACAGATTCCTTCCCCCTTCTTTCTTATGAAAACACAATTGTCTGGAAAGGCACATGGTGCATCATACTGTGGAACTGATCTGGGTTAAAGTTAATTTCTTTTCTCCCTGTTAGATCATTTTATATATGGATCGGTTCCCTGAGGAACTGAAGACACTTGCAGTATGTTTCTCCCAGCACAATTGAGGGTTTAGTGAAGATGTGGAAATGAATGATGACAGGAGCCTTCTACCAAACTCTAAGAGATACTCCTAAGATTACACCTTATAAAGGACTCTTTATTTCACATCTGCAAAAGGTGTATGAATCTCACCTACGAAAAGTGAGAAATGCCTGTATGACAGGCCAAAAAATCCCTAACTTTATTTCATCTGCAAGCTCATAAGTTCATCAGTGATGCATTTTCTAAACGATACCTTATCTCAATTTAGAGACTTGATACCAAATCCATCTCAACCTTAGGAAAGTAGCAGCAATAGATTACAATGCAATGATTTAAAATGGTGTCCTTTTCCTTGACCAATTTCAGTTAGTTTCTTCTTCCAAACACTAGTCTTGCACATCTTTTTCTGCAGGATTTTTGATGTCTTAGAATTTTTTAAGCCATCTAAGTACCTGTAAGTCATAACTGTTTGCCCCAAAATGTATTTTAATTTTGTGAATTTTCCTTTTCTATAGCACAGAGTGTATTTCTTTGGGTTTGAACTGTACTTGGTCATAACCAATGTCAAATTGCTTACAGGGAAAAAATTCAACATTTTCTGTCAGATCAGTTCATCTTTAGCATAAGGTCTACTGAAAAATCAGAGTTGATTGAGACACCATGCCTTTCTGGGGTCGTAAAAAGGTAGCAAAAACCTTTCAAAACAAGGAAAAGGTTTTAATAAGTATTCCAAAGAGCGTACAAGAAGACAGACATTTTAAAATGGCTTCAAAATATTCACTCTCGTGATACACAAAGCCCTATATTTAAATGTGCAATACTTTTAATTGTAAAATTTATAGTAAAATTTAGGCTTTCAATTTTGAAAGTGCTTGGAGATTGAAATAGCACCTTCCTTCAGTAGCACAACCTCCACTTTATTATCCTTCAGTTTAATTCAGTAACATTTGCTTTATGTGTAAAACTTGTACTTTTATCTCTGTTCAGAGCAAATAAAAATGTCTATCCAATTTTACTTATTATCTTGTTTGCAGAAGCATTTGTAATAGTTAAGATATCCAGATTCTTTTAAAAAAATCATAATTCTTATTTTCTTTGAAATAGTCCAAATACTGCAGGTAAGAAAATTATACACCTCATCGTTATTCCACCAGGTTTGTTCTGCACATGCTGCTTGTTCAAGAAGCACTGTGGACATATATCATTCCATATTTCAAAATAAACTGCACATAATCTATTATGTACTTTTAATGCACATTCAAGCTGTTTACATTTTTACTCAATTAATTACACACATCCTGAAATTTATTTCCTGAGAATTCTTGTTAGCATTCAAGCAATGATTTCTACCAGCACTACTTTTAACTTTTAAGTTTCAGTTTCAATATAAACTTATATGAGCAGTGAGCTGGGCCTAACAGCATTAACACATTTACTGCATGAGAAAAAGATTCACAGTGTATTGAAATGGAAGCACAAATGGATAAAAATACGTATTATCAACATGTGCTCTTCAAGCTAGATAAATGAAACTGAATAGTTTTTGCACAATGAAAGGCAGTTTCATGAAATACTTTTCCTCTTGTAAGGTCACTTCAAGAAAAATAATTTTATTGGGGAAAAAAGTAAAAGCTGATAAAGATAGTTTTATAATAAGATTAATTAGGGTGTCACATACAAAACTATGCAGATAAAATTTATAGGAACACCAGAAACTGGTAACAACCAAATAAATGAGCCAAAAAGCAAAGAGAATTAACAAAAAACTCAGTCCATTCCAACTGATTAACATGGCTTTTCCTGTATGCCTATCAAGTCATCAAATGAGAACACATTTCACAGCTAAGATGACACATTTATCTATAGACTGGTATATAAAAATACCTCTTTTATTAACTTCCTGTATGGGGATATTTAATACAGATTAACAATACCACGTATACATTTATTTATGAACACTAACTTACT